ACTGGGATAGTCGAAGAGTCGGGTCCTGACCCACCTCTGTTGGACCCAAACACTGGCTGGGTCATGGCGCCAGGTAGGTCAACCAGTCCGCCATGTAACGAGTTAGACCGGCACCAGGTAGGTCAACCAAGAGCCGAAGGACTGGCAGAACTGACTGGACACCTGGGCTCCATGAGGTCTAAAATTAAAAATGGCCTGAATACAGTAGATGCTGATGCTGATGTAGTTCCGTAGTTCCCCCCCATCCCCCCCCCCAAGAAAAGGACTCTTCCATGTAACATAGGCAAAACCATGCAAACACCATCCACCTTCAAGCATCGCCCCACCTCCCGCGCCCCGCGCAGTCGCTTCCCCCCCCCTCCGTGCCCCGCGGGCTTCCCGCCGCTTCAGGACGGCGAGCGCCGGCGGCGCGCGCACGAGCGCTTCACCGAGTGGAAATTGGAGGTTCGGGGATCCGGACCGGACCGGGTCCGGACCGCGGAGACGTCGGGGCCAGAGGAAGGTCGGATGGTCAAAGGCGCCGGAGGAGTGGGCGTGTGGGGTTGGAGCAGGATCCTGATAAGAAAGGAACATGTTTCAGGAACATGCCCGGAACATCTATAGTGGCATGAGGTAAGTAGGGGTGAAAGGTGAACACAGGTGCCAAAAAAACCGTTCCATGGTGAAAACCAGGCCGGGGTTAATGATGGTTAGCAAACAGGATGATTCGAGGTGAAAACCATGGGGGTTCATGCAGATCTTTCCCTTTAATTTACAAGCCCTTTAGCCCGGAAGGAGGAGGACTCCCGCGTGAAGTGGAGCCGGCGGGGTGGTGATGACATGTGCCCTCAGGTCATGTGTTCCCTTCTTTGGTGTCATGGCTTTCCTTGTGGGGATCCAAGTGCCTTCATTTCGAAGGTGGGACTGGGGTAGGCACCAGGAGGGTCTAAAGATGTCTCAAGACCTTTGGAGGAGCTACTTCCAGCAGAGGTTGAAGAACCCTATAGACTATCCTATAGGTACTCCTGTAGGGTCCTATAAGGTCACTTAACCTCTGTAGGTTGGAGCCCTAGGCTTTTGTGCTGGGACATTGCAGCTTGGAGCCGATGGCGCCACAGGAGTCGATGGCGGCGTTCCTACATGAGGAGAAGCGCCACTGACTTGGCGCCATGGGTCTTCCAACTGTGACACATCTTCCGCCCCGTCATCCATCAACCAGAGCCAGGTTAGGCAGACGTGTGGCATAGTTGGAAGATCCGGAAGATCCAGGTACCAGCACCACGGATTCCGGGTGTCCATTTTTTTAGCCCCGAAACGAGGTGATTTGGGCTGTCCATTCACCACCCCTAGCTTTGGGGGTCCTGGTATACGTTATACAGTAATTAAGTTATACAGTACGTTATACGCAAAGTGAGGGGAAAACGGCCTTGGGGGTCGGAACCCCTGCTCACTGCTCACGAGATAACAATCAGATGTATACGTTAAGAGGTGCATGGGCCTCTTTGTTAGAGGCCCTCTGGAGACATTGCAGCACCATCTCGAACTATATATAAAATTACCTCGAACTATATATAAATTCTTGGGAACTATTTATAAATAGATATCTCTTCAAGGAAAGGAATGCTTGTAAGCCCACACACACAACACATTGTACCACCAAAGCATATGTTGGAATTCAAATAGGTGAGCTTTGTGCTGCAAAGTTCTGGCTTCAGGGGAAGATCCCATTGTATCAACCACTAATGTGTTTGGAATGTGTTTGGTTTGTTTGCTCCCAGGCCAGGCATGAAGCGGGTGCACCGGATACGCGTGAAAGTCAAACGAAGAGTGAAAATAAAGCGGAAATTTAGGCAGCCCAAATACAAACAAAATGATCAAGAAAGGCGAACAAAGCCCAGGCCACCTTCACCACCCCCAGCCCCACCGCCACCCCCCCCATCCCGATCACGACCACACTTGCCCAAGCCACCTCCCCTACCTCCCCCACCTCCCCCACCACCTCCCAAAGCCACACACAAAAGGAAGCAGCTTCTTCCACCCCCACCACCACCAAAGCCAAGGCGGCAAGTGCAACAACAAAGGTTGTAGGTGCACTTAGTTACTTAGTTGAATTCGTGTCCCGATTGCTGGTCGCATCCCGCTCGCTCTGCCTGCAGCCAGCTTGAATGTGGAGCCTTTATTTTTGAGGGTCAGGAACTTTGATGCCTCTCAAGTAGGCAAGACCATTGGATATTGTTTGGTGTGGCTCTTTTTGGGGTTAGCTGGACAAAACCTTTGCCAGTGCTCGCCATGGCTGATTCCAGCGGAAAATTGGAATCTCAGTATCAGGAGCAACTTGCTTGCTAAAGGTGTTGGGCCGTGCGAATTTGGGGGACCAAAGATTCTATTATAATATGAGACTATGACTCGACGACTATATAATATACACAGGAATCACAGGAAAAAGCAATACAAACAACAAGTCTTGGCCTGTTTGGTCAATGCTCGCTGGATGTTGCTGCTTTTGGCAAGTTCTTTATGTTAGTGGCCCTCTAAAGAATTCAGAATGAGTGAGAATTGATTGGCTTTCTACACCAGGTTTCATAAACCAACAACCGCCAAAACAATCCTGCCCAGGTATGAGCTGCCTCAAATTGGGCCTGTGATGTGGGCAAGTGCGTTTCGACAGGCACTGGGGCTACACCAATCCTACACTCTTTTGGAGCCGAACCACGGTGCGAAATATGTGGTGATCACGAAAGCTAGCCTTAGCTAGCTGGAGTTGCTCTTGCTTTAGCAAGTTAAGTGACGGGGTGGACGCACCTCAGAAACCTCAAATAATTGATTAAATCAATCTTATGGACCCCCCCCCCCCCCGCGGTTCGACTCCCCCCTGCGCGCGGTGAGCGGGACCACCAAGCAGCTGCAGCACACCAAGCATCTGCAGCGCCCAGCGCAGCAGCGGCAGCAGCAGCAGCAGCAGACCACCCAGCGGCAGCAGCAGCAGCAGCACCAGCAGCAGCAGCAGACCACCCAGCGGCAGCAGCAGCAGCAGCAGCAGCAGCAGCAGACGACCCGGTGCCTGCAGAGCACCCAGCGCAGCAGCGCCCAGCGCAGCAGCGGCAGCAGCAGCACCAGCAGCAGCAGCACCAGCAGCAGACCACCGGAAGCCCGGCTAGCTTTCGTTCACCCCCTCTGGCCTCAAGTTTTACATAAGAAGACGGTATCAGTCACAGTATCGTATCGTACCGTATCGTATCATATCATTCAGATTCTTTCCGTTTTGAGATGATGTTCAGTCGTTGTTCTAGCTGGGGATTTGTGGTAGAAACGAAGCCATTCCCAAGACCTCACTCTGAAACTCTCGGATTCCCCATGTTCAAGCCAATTACGGCTCAGGATCAGAATGCTTGAATCATGCGCCGGTGGCGCTACTGGAACATATATCGGGCGCCTTTTTTGCAGATTTGACAAGTTCATGTTAAGTCGTGCCAAAAGCGGTTCTGGGCGTACATACATACTGCATGCATCTGCACCGGTGGTTTTGTAGTGAAAGGCTGGAAGGTCTTGACCGTGCAAGCGGCCAACTAAGTCGGGAATTGTCTGCAGAGCTGGGGATGGCGATTCACACGGAATGCTGTCTGGAGTTGAACCCAATGAAGCAAGCTTTCATCAAAGCCAACTATGCTGGAGCTCACCGCAACCTGGTTGCAGCTGGGACCACCTTGAAAAACAGAACGTAACATTAACATGACAGTAACTTGGGGGGTGGCTTCTTTTTGGCCAAACTCTGTTTAATTCAATAAGAAGCGGAAGACGTGTGTGACAGTGTGACGCTACGCTCTTTTCTATTGCAGTTGGACACATCTTCTCCGACGTCACAGACATTGATGGGGAGGATGGCGCTTTCTGCTCTTTGCATGGTCGAACATGCAAACTGGAGGAGGCAGGGTTCCTCTCAAAAAATGTTTTGTGTTTTTTTAATCAGAGATGATGGGATTAGAGCAAATTCCAAGACAAACAAATTGGATTCCTTGTGAGTGTAAAATTTCATGTGCCTTCAGAGTATTTCAGAACATCGCCCGATCTGAGAGATTCATGGGTCCATGCCAGGTCCAGGTTGGTTTGGAAAAGAGTTAACACGTGTTGGACTACTTTAGTCATCGTCAGGACCACAAGATTCAGCTCTACACAGTGGGACCTCCTTGTCAGCCGTATTCACGTCTCAATGCCAAGAAACGGACTCTTGGCCGAAACCCATTTCTGTCCGCTCAAGGGCAGGTCTTCGAGAAGGTGTCACGACAAATTCGCAACCAGACAGCAAACAGAGTAACACAATTGAGCAGCTTGAAGAAAGGTAAGCTCAGCTGTAGTGTGCAGTACACCGTGCCCCAGGTAGACTCCGTCCAGCTACAGTCATGCTGGAGGAGGCAAAAGCTTTTGGGCCATAGAAAAGCGTGTTCAGACCTTTTCTTTTGTCAATCGATCAAAGTCTATCAGGTTCAACCCGGGACTTTTTTCTCAGAGGTTCTCAGATGTCCAAATGATTCAAGCGTTACGAGCAGGCCGTCAAGCAAATCAACACGGCTTGGCAGGTGTACGGCATTTTTGACAAGTTCACTGTGGATGAGAGCTGCGTCGAAGACCCCTTCTTCCAGAGATATAAGGCCGGTCCGGGCTTATCCGCTCACGTGTTTTGGAACCGTCTGGCCGCCTAGCCTAGCCGCCTAACTAATGTGATGGTGTCCAGTTGAATGGCTCGCGGCTCAAGTGTGAAAGGAACAATTGATGATAAACCCTATTTGAGTTTTGACAAAGTTTGCATTATTATACATTGAAATTGGTGGCTAACAGCGACCGAGAGCAAATTTCAAACGAATCCCAACTTTTTAAATATGCAGCAGGGCAGGGTGCGACTCAGGACCCCAGGACCAAGGATCAGATAAATTACCAATTACCAATTACTTATCGATAAGATAAATTACCAATTTTTAACATAAACCAACATCATCATCGGTGAATCGGTGAATCCGCTGCAGCGCATGCCGCTTTCAGATTTGTGGGCTGATGAGAACGATGAGGAGGGACAGCAATCAAACGAACACATAGTAAGTGACTTGAGGAAACAACTCCAAAGAGCACGTGCCAGAGAGGGAAAGGCCAAGAGGGCCAAGCAGAGTGGTTTACCCAATCTGCCTGAAGGTTCTGCGAACTCTGGGGGTGAGTATGCAAAGCGTTTGCAGTCAGAGTATTTCACTCAGGGGTTTCAGTACAAGCTCTCTCAAAGAGCAAGTGTAGACTTTGACTTTGGTCAGCATGCTGATCCAAAGCAGCAGTTCAGTCGGGGGCGTGCTCGATCTGTATGGAGCTTTTTACAATGCATGTGCAAGATCGTGGAATCCTTATTCAACCCTGCCCAAGACCAGGCAGTGGAACACGTTCTCAACACATGTATCGCTGACGATACATCCACTACTCTCAGAGCACATGGCTCTGAACGCAGCGTGGTTCACACTATCATGAATACAGTGCAGTCCGCATATGTCAGATTTGGAGATGAGTCGTGGCACTCCCTACACATACCCACCCCGATCCAATGTTTGTCATCTGGGAGAGCTCCTGCTATTCATGCCTCGTACACTTCATGGTTATTAGTGTGCGCAAGTGGAGTTGGAGAGCACTTGTCACGGCTGGGTGTTGCAAAGAATGTGGCGAGTCGTGCAACTTGGCGGACTATGGTCTTTGTCGGAGACGCCCTCAAGGCAAATGACAGTGCATGGAAGTCGGAAAGCTCTCTGTTGAGCCTAGGGCGGAACAATGGACAGAGTTCAAATTCAACTGCTGCTTCAAGTGTTTCCCATACCCTGGGCCTGAGAATTCGTTGTTGCAATCATCAACTTGGCCTTATCCGTCGGCCAGCGGTGCTAAGCACCGAGCGGTTTTGGTGTACCCTGGTACGACTAGGACACCAATTTGAACTTCATTCCTTCCGTCGATCTTTGGCGTCTGCAGCAACGAGGTATTTTCAAGAAGCTGGCAATTTCGAACGTGTTTTGTCTTCAAATCTTCAAGCCACGATTTGCGCTTGTATGCTGACCCGCTTTCGGCGTATATTATTTATACAGGTTTTCTTATAGGCTCTGAATTTAGACTCTGTAAAATGGTTCACCGGGGCCTGGGGTCAAGGGATTGTTCTGAGCAACCAAGGCATCAGAGTGTTTCAGTATCCTGAAGAGATGACAAAGTGGAGAAAGCGTGCGGACTGGCTGTATGAGAACTTCATCACTAACACGAAGCAGGCCAAGGAGTCGCTAGCTGAGCTTATGGCATTTGCAAATGGGGACAGCACCACACCAGTCCTCACCCACTACTGTTTGATCGGACAGTCTGGTCGACCAGACTGCTGCTCCTCAGATGCTGAGGCTATTTGCAAGTGGTTGTCGCATTGCATTCCATTTCTTTGTCGAGGGTACCAATGCCCGTTGCTGTACAGGATGAAACACTATGGCCCAGCAAGCTCATTTGTGATGCTGACGACATGCTTCTTCAGGATACTCCCCAATGTACTTGGGCACATGGAGGCATCAACGGGAAACCTCGATGAAGACATGGAGACATTAGTGGACACCTTGCTTGCTGACATTGGTGTGGGCTCATCAGGTGCTGCTGCTGATTTCCAGCATTTGCTTGCTGATGCATTGGATGCGCAGCAGAACTACCAACTTCAAAACAGTGTGCGCAGAAAAATGATGATCCAGGAGGTCTGCAAGCCTGGATTTGAGCAATCCTCCATGGTGATTGATGCTCTGATAAACCCGATGGAAGTTGGAGTCAACAAAATGCTAGGTCACACAAAGTGCCTTCATGACTTGGCTTTTGTGGGGGCGGCTCACCCGCAAGGGCAAGAGCTTCAGGAAAAGACCAAACGCATATTCTTGGAGGTTGTGTCCGGGGACTTTGGACGTCACCTTATGTGCCGGTATGTGACCTTCTTGAATTCAGGCCTTTGGGAAGCGAATGAGATGGGGTTGGAAGCTACAGGATCCCGGCTGGACCACATCTTCAAAATGGTCATCATCATTTGCACAGACATTTGGCGCCGATTTGTTTATGACTTCACGTTTCCTCCCTGGACACTCTTCGGCTTAATTGGGCTTTCAACAGAGGAGTTTGTGAGACGCTGGGATGACTTGGAGAAGTCCTTTGCCAAATGCTGCCAGTGCATGGACATTCAGCTGACAGCGGCGTGGCTTCATCATTTTTCGGGCCTGGCTTCGGCTCACATTGATGTTCAAAGCAAGGCCTGCGCAGAGATCCAACAAGTCTTGGTTGACATTGCGGGGTTTACTCCTCTGACTTCTGACGTGGTCGAGTTGAAAAACGGACAAACCCAATGGTCCGTGTCCAAGAGGGGGCGAGTCAGCGTCAAGAACCCGAGGTCTGCCACCGAGACAACACTACTCCAATCTGTACTTAAGCAGCACGTGTGGATCAAGGAGGTTGTTGGAGCAGAGACCCTTCCCAAAAAGAGTGTGAGCAGTGGCATATTGAAGATGGTGGGAACCAATTCCTCGAATCAGCACAGGCAGCAGGCAAGGGAGTTCAACAGCAAATTGTTTTATATTTTATATTCGAACTCTTTTCCGCAGTCAAATTAGTCAGTTTGGTGCAAAAAGACTGTGTGGTATGAACCCGTTTTATTTAACGTCAGTTTGGGTGAGCTATAATAATATGATATGATATGATTCAATGATTATGAAACAGCTATGAAATGATCAGAAAGCGTGGTTACGTTTTTGTTGGGGGGGGCTGTATTGAAATTTGAACATCATCAACCATCAATTCTCCTCTCTGTTTTACTACCCTGGCAGGATTGTGAAAAGACACCACGTACCCGGACTACAAGAGAGACAATGGAGGAAAAGCAGTCGCGAGTGGCTCATGCCCAGAAACGCAAGATTCGACGGTTGTGCGGATGGAATGCCTACCAGAGACACCGGCTGGAGGGCATGTCCTTGTCGCTGGTGGATTACAAAGAGAAGGTGCGGCAAATCAGTCAGGACTGGCGCAACATGAGTCAAGAAGACCGAGATGCGTTTGAAATTGAAGCACAACAACAACAGCACAGACTAGATGACTTGTCGCAGCAGCCACTACCATCTGCCACTGGTGCATCAAATCAGCAAGAAGATCCAACTACGAATTGCTGGCGCAATGGGGCAAAGAAACGGTCTGCCCGTCGCTTATTGGTCAACAAGTCCGCTTTTGCATCGCATACACTTTGGGATTTGCCGACACAGTATGGAGACAGTCTTTTGGCAAAAAAGTTGCAAAAAGTTTAAGGGTCATTTTCGGTCATTCGGAGAATCAATCGTGGTTTGTTACCACATCGGGGGCAAAGTACTATGAATTGAACATTTGCTTCACACCTTCCGAATTCCCGTTTGAGACAAGCCAGGTGAGGGGGCTCTGAGAGCATCGATGATTGATGTTTTGAGCAGTGACCAAGACGTGTCCAATCATCTCAGCGAGACTTTGCACCGTTCTTTGGACCCGATTTGCAGTGAAAGTCACGGCCACAGTGTCTATGAGCCATGTCCTTTCTTCCAATGCCGGAAGGACCCATGTTTTGAGTCGGTGAGGAAATTGGAGGCGTGCTTCAAGTACAACCTCGTTGAGAACAAGGTGACGCCGGGCATGTTGCTTGTTTTTTCCAGCGCCCAATGCGTCGAATCACATGCCTGCTTTCTTGGAGTTGTGCTGAAGAAACCTAGCGTGCACATGCTGGCTGAAGCGAGCATTACAGACGAGAACCAAGTGAATGAGGTTCAGCTCGCATTGGCTCTTGGTGCTCCCAAGGTGCTCACTTCGCAGCAGTTGTTCTCTCAGTTTTGCCGGGATGCCTCCAGTTCAGCCGACCAGGTCATTGTGAAAGTTGAGGTCTGGCAGTGCAAAGCCTTTTTGCATGGCAGAGATCAGCTGAAATCAAACATAGACAAGCAGGTTGCGGCTTTCAGCCTGACCCAATCAGGGTTCCGTCGAGCAAAGCCAGTTGTCAAACTACCTTTTGGTTTGACAGATCGCAAGCCGAGAAAAAAAACAACTCGGACACGAACAGTGATCAAAGTTCAGGCAAAAACCAAGACAGCACGAAAGACTGCCAAAGGAAAGGGAGATTTTGAAAACGTCGTTCGACATCTTGTGGAGTCCTCTGATGAAGGGGCAAACAGTGAGTCGTCCGAGTCAAGTGAAGAGGAGGACATTGAAATTGAAGCCAATGATGAGAGTGAGGTGGTAGCGCCGGCATCCTCAACAATTGCCAAGGAAGAGAAAAGTTTCCCAGAGTTGAAAGCTGAAGTCGAACAATTAGATCAATTGAGAGCCGAGGCAGCTGCAGCCTTGAAGCAGAATTCTGCCAAGGCGGCAGCAACATCGAGCTATTTTTCTAGGGAAATCGGTTTGTCAGAGGGAGCCATTGCAGTGAGCGCCAGATCTGTCTGTCTCTCCTGCAAGAAGCAAATTCCCAAAGGTACTGTGCGATTTTCATGGTACCACTCGGTAGTGAGACCACCGGCATGGATCCATCACTTTTGTTTGGTCACGCACGCCAAGCACACAGGCTTGAGCGCTGAGACTTGCCGTAAACTAGAGAAGATCATCGAGGCAACTGGCAGAGCCAGTTCCAGCTCTCAAGCCCCGCCAGTTTGCGATGCTGTTCGGACAGCGGCTACGAAGATTTTGAATACTTTGCGGTCTACAACCTGAGCCTGAGTGTCAAAGCGGTCTTGTTGAAATGTTGAAATCACACCGACCTATGAAGTTTGCAAAGGTGAACCAATGTTATGTTACATGTTTGTTGACTCAGGTCGGGTTGGTGAAAAAATAGCACTGTGCGACATACATCGTACACAGGATTCAGGGTGCCCAAGCTTCAAAAAGTGATCAGAAGCGGAAGCGGGATAAGACATACAATTCGACTAATCTTTGTTAGATTTTGTCTTATAGTCAAGCTCCTGTATGTTACTCTTTTTCTTGATATTACACCGACCTGCCATTCCGACCCAGATTCTATCTCTGTGTTTTTGGCTTCGCCTCTCTGCCAGAACCCGTACGAGTACATGATGAGGGGCTACGCGATGACAGAGTCTGGCGAAGAAGAACCAGTAGGCCTTGAGCTCATTGGTGGCTACCACGTAAAAGTGCTCTACATGCAGTTTCTTGCCTTCTTATAATTATATGAGATGTCACTCAACGTTTGCCACTGTTAATTTGGATCGGTTTGTTGAATGAATGAGGTGTGTTTCTTTTTGATGTGGTGTAAATTTTCCACTATAGGCTATAGTCTATAGCATTCCGAAGTATCCGCATAGACAAAGGAGGACACTTCTCCTCCAGATAGGCTTCTGAGATTGTAGAAATGTACCAACAAATCATGGAGTCACATCGAAAAGCTTGGAGTCAGCGGACGGCAAAAGCTTTACTTTACTTTGCAGTAAAAGTGGGAACACGGGACAATTATATGCTGTTTGAGGTCGTCCCGGTACGGCCTTCCACAGAGCCGTTCGCGGGTCTACATTCTGATGGTCAGCAAGTCTTTGTGCGACAATGCAGAGATGTCAATGTTGTGCCATCTCATACGTGAGGTCCTTCCTGAGGCACTAGTGCCAGTACCCATCAGCCTTCAACAAATCATGCAGTATAGTCGGAATGTCGCTTCGAGTTTTGAGATGTGTTTGACACCACCACCCGTTGCCAAGGACCGGGTCAGGGACTGATTTTTGTAGCTTTTGGGGGCGCCGTGACCCAGTCGACCTGTTTGGATTTTCGCGGGGACGGGGTAGGGTTTCGGGCTAGGTTATAAATAGTTCTCAGCTGTTTCTCAACGTTTTCGGGTTGTCTAGGCCTCTTTAAATGGACCCCAGGGCTAGAACTCATATATGTTTTGCTCCCTACTGCGGCCAGGCCACGATCCTAGCTCCAAATTTCTCTAGTCCTCTAATTAAATTTTGCCACCGCTGTCGCCGCTGCCACACTCCAGGACGGCAAGCAGTCTGAGACGAGCCAGCGGGAGGTGGCCAACTTGTGTCGGGCTCTGAACGTTGGGGTCGGGTATTCGTCTTCCCTGACAACTGCTCAGAAGGCTCTTTTGAACAAGCGGGAACGGCAAAGTTTGGACATCCAGCACGCCCAACTCGTTGTAACTGGGCCCAAGATGTTTTTTGCCGTCGGGGACTCATGAACGGCTTGTCGATAGGATATGATAGGCAGGGCAAAAGCTTTAGCACACCACACTGACTACACCATGGTTTCCACATTTGTTTTGAAACGAATCTGTCCACTTAAGTCTCGTACCATACCATTCCAGTCGGTCGCCCAAAGTATATATACTGTATAATCTCAAGATGATTAGCGGTGATGTTGGTGATGCAGTTTCAAGCCAATGCTGCTTAGAAATAGTTCGGAACCGTTCGAAACCGTTCTGACCTATCTATAGTCATACCTCCAGAAATAGTTCGAAACCGCTCGGAACCGTTCTGAACTTTATATAACTTCCAAACCAGGATTAGTTCAGATTAGTTCCAAATAGTTCCAAATAGTTCGGAATAGTTCGGGGGCATTATATAGTTCGAAACCGTTCGGAACCGTTCTGAACTATATATCAATATAAGTTATATATAGTTCGAAACCGTTCGGAACCGTTCTGAACTATATCACAGTGTTTTTAATATATCGTTCGAAACCGTTCGGAACCGTTCTGAACTAATTAAAACTGGCTTGCCTCAAAAATAGTTCGGAACCGTTCGGAACCGTTCTGAACCATTTCTAGAAGATGGTTACTTGTAGCCATGTTTTTCAATAATATAATATATAACATATATTATAATATTATAAATATAATATATATATATAGATTAGATTTTTTAAAAAGTAACTTAATATAAATAGTATAGTATAGTCTAGTCGTATAACAAAGTAAAAAACAATATATTATATATATATATATCATAACTTATTAATTTATGGTCACTTCGAGAGGTTCCATCTATTACGACATCATCTCGTTGCTCAGATCAGGAGTTTCGGGTTCCGCGTAAGTATAAGTAAGTTTCTTTCAGTTTTCAATAAGATCTGGGTCCAGGAATGTTTTGTCAGGCCTCCAAGTTATAATGCTCCATTCCCAGGAGCGAAAACACATGCATTCAATGAAATATGAATAATTTCACTTGCAAGCCCCCTGGAAAAACTCTTTACTGTAACATTCCTTCAGGGCTCAAAACAAGATTTGTGATGACGCTCCAGAAGCATTCCAGAAGCAGTTCAAAATGGGGGATTGGATTTTTGAGCGGTGCTATATCCTTTTTTTACGTACAGCTTCTCAGGCACAGGGGTACAAGCCGGAGGCCGATTTCTGCACTTCCGATCTGGCGCACTTGTCTTCAATTTCTTTTGAGTCCGTTGCCACGATTTGTGTTATATAAATTACAAAAGCAAAGTTTAAAGCCTAAAGCTGTGGGTGGGACCTGAAGAAACTTTTGAGTTTTTCAATCAACAAGACTTTGGTGAGGTAGTGTCCGGCGACATGCAAACTCACACCATGGACGACTTAGCGCGGTGACAACATTTGTGAAGATCTGGGACTACCAGTCCAAGAGTTTCTTGACCGCAGAGGACCTGTTGCAAGTGCCTTTCAGTTGATTGTAAGATGAGATGATGAGGTGATATTATAAGATGATAATAATTATGATAATTTATAGTAATTTATATAAATATAGCCTAGCGCTCGACTTTGTGTCAGTTTGTTGAGCATCAAGTAGGTTCAGTGCGTGGACACCTTGTAATATTTGCAGGACCTCCTGGGAGTCCAGGGCTTCGACATTGCAAAGCTCAACCTGGGCAGCGACTCAGAAGCAACCTTTTCCTACTCAGACCTGAACCTCATCGCAGGCGAGTGGCCTGCGCCGGGGTGGGTTCGAGGCCATCGCATCGCTAGGAGGCCATCGCTTTAGGTTCGAGGCCATCGCTAGTAGCACCGTGACATTTTGCAGTGTATTATTGTAGAAGGTCAGCTCCTTTTTGCTTTTGCACATTTATCAAAATCCTCGTTGTTCCCCAAGCTGGATTTGCAGGAGATGGCTGGTCAGTTCCCGTGGCTGGCAGTGTGATCTTTGCCATCTGTGCATGCCTTTTCAAAACGAGTTCAGGCTCACCTGCGAGACCACTGGAGAACCACCCGAAGGGTTCTTCATTCTTGCAGCGTTTGCTCGAAGAAGATGAAGCCGACTCTGACCCTTTGATTGATGGGGAGTGGACAGTAGTTGACGATTCAGATTCGCCTTCTGAG